GAGGTTTGGACTTGCTCCCTGGAGATTTAACCTTCAGCAGAGCTGAGAACATAGCAAAGTGGTCTTGTGGGAGGAGGAAACCCACAGATGGAGGCAAGGCTTTGGCTCTGGTGAGTGGAGAAAAGGGAGCGTGGGCTTTTCCCGGAGAGGTTCCCCCCTTGGCCATGGAAACACCAGGCAGGCTTCGCATTAAAATATAAGCCAAAGTTTCATTGGGCTGCTCAGAGGAAGGGGGATGAAGCCTTTATTATTCAGCTATCTAATAAATGGCAATTCTGAAGCACAAATTAATCCGTTCATAGGCCTAGTTTAGGTATTTCTTTTTGGGAAGTAAACTTGGAAGATTTCTTGACTTGGAGCAGTTTTCCGGATTTCAGTTTATTCTCAAGCAAAAATGCACTAATTTGCCCTTCCCTTCTTCTTCCTCCCTCCCTCCCCCTTCTCTCCCTTTTCCTTCCTCCCTTCCTTCCTTCCTTCCTCCCTTCCTTCCTTCCTTCTTCCCTCCCTCCCCCTTACAAATTTGGACAAACTTCATACCAGGCCAGAAACATGGGCACAAGAGCCAGCAGTTAACATTTTTAAAAACAACTTCCGTCAGAGAACATTCCCTGCAAGGGGGAAATAAAAGATGGAAGCATGATTTGCCTTTTTAAAACATCGATAGGCAGCTTATATTAGCAAGGGAAGCATCAGGGTGTTGTGAAGCATGTGAACATTTCAGAAAGTTTCTGCTAATAAAAATGCATAGGAAAAACACTCAGGACTCAGCAGTGTCCTAGTAATGCCACGCTAAGTACATTGATGGCAATTCTCCATCATCTCAGCTTCTTCTTTCATCCCCCCAGATTTGGGTTCAAATCCTCCTCACCCCCAGACCTCGATGGTTAGACAAGGGGTAATAAAGCATGTTTGGACATTGGCCTTTTTATTCCACTAGAAACCAGCCTGTGGTGAGTTCCCCATCACGAAGGGAATCATTAAATTGGGCCAGAAAGGTGAAATAATTAGATCTCCCACCACGTTTTGAATCAATTCCCAACCTGAGCGTACTGATTCTTTAAAGAAAATTCTTACACCAATCGCAGGTTCAGGCACGCTTTGTCTATTTGACTGTGACATGAAGCCCCATGTCAGACGCATTTCAGAAATAATAAGGAAGTTTCCTTCCTGCCGCTTCATGTGGAATTATTGAAAAACATTTCCATCAGCCCTGTTTAGATCCCAGTTGCTTCGTGGACGCGGGGCGGATGAACTGAAATTGATTTTGGTTTCTCATATCACGCTAAAATTAGTTGCCGGCCACAAACCGAACACCCGGTTATACAGGGGTGGTTGGTTTCATTCCAGATGGCCACAGGGGGTTCCACAAGGGCAAAAAAGTCAAGATGGCCACTGTGCTCCTTTTTTACCCATGCCACACCACAAGCCCGTTTCTAAGCCTGGGCTAGATGGATTAAAAAGCCGATTTCTGGATCTGAGAAGGAGTTTAGGCAGCGGAGTTAAAATAAGGCACGCACTTCTCCTCACTTTTATGTATTTATGAGGAGAACAGGATATATTTATGGCAGAGCAAAACGACGTTGGCTTTGGCCTTCACGGCTCTTGAGAGAGCTCCTTGAAAATATAAAAACTTCCGCCTGAAAGAGAAGAGACGGCAAAGTCTACTTATGAGCTCCCTTTACAGAAACGTAGCTGCCCGTTTTCCATGCCGCACAAACTTTTGAGGAGTTTTTCTGGAGCCCGGCGGGAGATTTCAAGAGGCCCATCAAATCTTGCAGGGGAAAAGCACGTTTCTTTTTCCGCCGCTGCTGAATTTTCCCTCCAGCCAACGTCTGAGGCGACTGCCAAAAGCTTGGAAAAAACGGTGGAGACGTTTTGCCGTGAAAAATTTTAGACGTACATTTTCAGACAGCAGCCGGTGGGACAAAGGCAATGATGCCGTGACGGCTGGTTTAATAACTTTCTGTTAATTTCCAGGTTCGGTTTCTTTTGGGCCTCTGGATGTGGCCTGTAATTTTTCTCACAAAACCAGTTTGTGTGTGTGTGTGTGTGTTCAGTGTTTCTCAACCTTGGCAAGTTTAAGAAGGCTGGACTTCAACTCCCAGGATTCCCCAGCCCTCATAGCTGGCTGGGGAATCCTGGGAGTTGAAGTCCACCCATCTTAAAGTCACCAAAGTTGAGAAAGATCTATTCTATTAATGCAGAACTTCTATTCCACCTGTTTCCAACATCCTATTGGAAGCTACAGCCATTATGTCAGCCCAACAAGGTAGGCCAGAGGAAGAAACCAACTCCACGTAGAAGTCAGGACTACTTTTTCTGTAACACTATAGTAACAGAGTCTTGCTAGTCTGAATGTGCTTCATCCCTCCCTCCCTTTATCTTGGTGTGTGAACTAGGGAGGGGCTTGTCTGAGATGTTTTCTCAAGTTACTTTCTTGCTCTGGGCTCAATCCCCTCTTATCTGACTGTTGCCTTGGTAGCAGCTCTTCCTCCTGTCCTTCCAGGCCATTCCCTCTTCCCTCTACCCATTAGCATGCAAGTAGAGTCTTTTCGGACACCGTGGAACAGGCTTGCTGGCCGTGAGAATCGCAGGGACGCTACTTGTACAGTTTCCTCAAATTCCCATTCATGGCTGCCGTCTGTCTGAACTTGCACTTTGCAATGCTAGCTAAACTGAAATGGTTTGTGGGAGTGACATAGTTTCAAACTTGGCCATTCAGTACCTTACAGCCTAGCCTACCTTGGAGGAATGCTGTGAAGATCCAACTGTGTAATGTTTATCCTTGGAGCTTGGTCTCTGAACCTGAACCGTATCACTGGTTTGGAACTGAAATTCTAATGCTCCTGGTTTCAGAATGAAGCCCTGCTATTTTTAATATATTTTAATATATTTTTAATATAGAGGAAAATAGGGTGAACAAGTAAATTAGGAAATAAAACTCTTTTTTTTTTTTTTGCCTTAGCAGACATCACCAAGATGTCAAGTATCCCTCAACGCAGAAGGTTAAACAGTAAAACTGAAAATATTTTGCCAAACAAGTATAGATTCAGAGGAAGGGAAATTTAAAATTCATTTTAAACATCAGCTGTTTGTTTGCCCTTTCAGTCATATATTTCCTTTTGTGTGTGCAATGAATCCTACCGGATAGGTACAAATGCAATTTATATATTCATAAAGCGGTAAGATGTAAACAGGTTTCGTTTTGGCAGCTTTTTTATATGCAACAGAATTAATGGTAGGTCATGAAAAGGAACATATCTGAACAGATGTACATAAAGTTTTGCTTGCCCCACATAGTTAATTGTCTGTCAAATATTACACAGTACATAAAAATGTAATTTGCAACAATTCATACATAATTCCCATTAACTTCAGTTAAGCTTCAAAGGAGACATGTAAATAAATTGCACCTTAAACTTCAACCAGCTGGCAAGCCACTTGTCTGGTGATCAAACCCTAGTTCTAATTCAATTTGATCCAGATCAATATCACCCATTTCTGCCAAGTCCTGACCAAGTGGGAAGTTTTAAGGTTAAATCGCCCACCGTTTCCTACCGAGGAAAAACAGCAATACATTCAAGTATTCCACACTTCACTTTTTACCTCTCTTTTTGGAACATGTGTGGAAGATACATAGAAAGCAATAAATGCAGTTTAAGTTACGCTAGAAATCACAGGCGAGACAACTGTGAAATTCTCACCGTTCCATGGTGACGACTGGGGTCCACAGACTGACTTCCAGTAAGAAAGGAGGAAAATACATTTTGGATGTCAGCACACTTTAAAGAACAGAGATTCTTATGGTAAGGTATGGCTGCGAATTAATCTCATTGCCAAAATAGCTTTTTTGTTCCTGGATTTGCTCAACATGCGAAGTCCCCCATGTATACTTACACGCTAAGCAAGAGCTCATTGTTATGCACCACGTTTCCAAGGGCCCCAGTTCAGTGTGTTGTGGGAATATATTTATAAGTGGTCATCACTTCCCTCCCAAGCCAGGTCAAGATATTTTGCTATTACAAGATCAAGGACGAGGTTCCTCTCATTCTGTTTCCAAAAGCTGATAGAACTGGGGCTGAACCTCCTTCTGAATGAGGGACAGAACAGCGTTCTTCATTGCTTAAAGGTGGCTGGTTAGTTAGGGGGCCCAGATGAGGTCATATGAGGTCTCCCCCATGGCAAGAGACCTTCTAAAGGTAAGAGCTGATCAACAGTGGAACAGGCTGCCTTGGGTGGTGATGGACACCTGGAGGTGTTTCAGAAGAAGCAGGCCTCTGTCAGGAATGCTATGGTAGCAGATTCCTGCATTGGACAGTGAGTTGGACTAGATGTTCTTTAGAATCCCATTATCAACATTCTATGATTCTAGGAGTTATAACTATACATCATCCTGGAGAAGGTCTATCTAGGTTGTTGCTAAGAGTCAACACTGACTTGATGGCACATAATCAAAATATCTATATTTATATCCATATACATAGATGTGTGTGCACACGTGTGTGCGTGTGCATATATAGAATGAATGAATGAATGAATGAATGAATGAATGAATGAATATATATATATATTTTCTATCCTTTGATTCTAACAATGGGAGAAAGTTTTTATTTCTTTTCCTAACATCTCCTAATGGGAGAGCTGGCCCAGGTGCTCTAGAAAATTCTCCTAAAATTAGCATTTCCACTGATCTCCTCACTTCTAAAAACTGGGTCTTAGTCTAAGATTAAGATATTTCCTTCCCTTGACATTTCTCTCTCTGGGCAACATTTCTTCCATATTAATTCCCTCCTGTATGCAGACTCTTCCCATCCCTCTGTGCTGTGATTATATATAAATAATCTATTTTTGAAGGCCCCAGTCCCTTTGGCTCCAGAACAGAAATATGGGTCTTCAGAATCATCCCCTTCTCTTCACCCATC